CACACACACACGTACACACACAAAACATAAACATAAACACACCTTCACAGACAGTGTGTTGGCTACTATCCCATCCACTGTGCTCTCGGTAAATGGGTCAAAGTGCTTATCCGGCCGTCTCATAAACTCTGGTTTCAGTCTGTAGCCACATTTCCCATTGTACTCATACATGCCCAGGTTGAGCTGCATTGATAAATCTGTGGGGTGAGGATAGGAACTTATTTAAACCTGGATAATGACATAAAAGTGAGGGTGTTTTAGTTTATTCTACAGTGTGAAGGAATGTGTTTTGGGCTTCCCTCTCACCAATAGTCTGGAAATTGAGAGCCACCAGCTGACAGCCTGCGTTCCAGAACAGCTGAGGGTTGTAGTTGGATGAATCCACTCGAGTGCCTTTAGGGTAGATCCTGCTCAGCTGCAGCTTGTTGTATCTGAACAGAGCTTGTTAAGGGCAAGACTGCATAACCTGCATCTGAAAATACTTTCTAAGTGATGCTACTAAACATCTGCTGGGATTACAACTCCAAAATCACTCACAAACAACATAATCCACAGAAGCAAGTTAAAGAAAAAGCTAAAAGGAACTGAAATGAGGAAATGAGGCTGAAATAACAGGCTATTCTTCAGTTCATCTATGCTTGAAACACCTATGCTCATCTACTCTGAGTTTTTCACCCATTAGCTCCAAAAAATGAGCCCAGACACTCTCAGAAGAAGTTTATTTATTCTCGTGTAACTGTGGGCAGTGATTATTTATTCAATCACTACCCACAGCTCGTGACGTTCTCGACACCACAACAGATATAAATATCCCTCTCCTCTATCGCTGCACTTGTGAGCAAGACCTCGAGATACTTGGAGTCCCCCACTTGAGGCAACAACTCTCTCCTCACCCAGCTGAGGAGTGGTATCAGACACAGCACAAATTCTTATCTTAGCAAGGACAGAAAGAGAGATGCTTCGGTATAACCGTAGGGATACTCCACAAACTCTACAGGAGATTTGGTCAGCTGCTCTAAAGCTTTGGTCTCGACAAAGGATGACATCTGGTAGCTTCGATTGATCTCTGTGGGTTGAGAGTGGTATAAAATTGTCAGCTTATCTAACAGTGATCTGTTTGTTGCTGCACATTCAGTATTCGTTGTTGTTACTGACTTTTGGAAGCCTCGAAGCTGTTAAATTTGACAGGTTGGATGTAGATGACCAAGTTGGACATTTCCTCTGTAGCGAATGCCTCACTGCCTGCTGTGCCCTACACATGGAAGCACACATATTAAAAAACGTACAAATACAAAGCAGCAGAAACGTTACCAAAAAAGTCTGTTAGAATCCTTCTGCAAAGGTTTTATTGATTTTGGAGACACAATTTGGAGACATGATCATACACTAGAGGACAACCTCAGCACATATAGGCTAAACAGTCTGTTTCCTTTATAACCAGGATTTGAACTGATGCCTGTCACCTGCAAGATACCCACCTCATCCATTGATCCCTTTTTACAGTCATCATCATCATCATCTTCGTCCTCGCTTTCGGCCTCCACTTCACCTAGAACGCATGGCACAGACAGGATAGCAGAGAAATGCACGAAACAAAGCTGAAACGAGTGTAAATTGAGTTTTTATTTCTGCCAAATCAATGCAAACGTTGCACAAACACGAACGGAGCCATCTGTCTTTAAATGGTCTTCATTTACAGCCCACGACTGCCTCCATTACATTTAAAACAGCGACACGAGTAAGGCTCACGCTGGCAGGTCCTAATTTATTGGCGCTCGTAGACAGAGGAAATGAATTTCAATATTGTTTTGGTTGAGCTGACCCAGCCTCTGCACCCACATAATGAGAGATCTGCTTAAGATTTCCCGCTGAATCGGAGGTCGCACTGACAGAGGAAATTGATTTTAACGGTGTAATTGTCTGACCTATAGCTTCTGTGCCGGCCTAATGAGGGCTCTACTAAAGATTTAAGTCTCCATCTGAGGTCATGGACTCACCGATAGACTTTCTGCCCTGTGGTCTCAGTGTAAGCTCAGTACCATCAGAGGGCTGTGTGGAATCTGCCACTTCCTCTTTGGTGGAACCTGCGATTTAAAAACAAAGCACTCACTGAAGATCATCCTCATATTTTTCAGTTCAATGTTTACTGTTTAGTTTACTCAGTAAATCATCTCAAAAACAAAGATTAATTTACAACGTGTATACCAGCTAAAAAGGACTCCTGACTGTTAACTTGTACTGCTTACTTTCCAACACCAGGGGGCAGTGTGTTTTAGCCTAAGAAGAACTTAAAGCTCAACAACCAGGGCAGACTAAAGGTGACATGTTGCTTGGTCCACTGGGATATGTAGATGGATGTTAAATAAACAAAACAATAAATGTTTGGCCACTTCCCGCTGCCACCAGACCTCCAGTTTGCTTCATATTGATTTTCCCAGACTCTGGACCCTGGTGTTTTTAAGATGATGGTGGTGAGAACAGTCTAACATGTCAGTCCATGTTAGACTTAAATGATTCAAATAATTTCCATACTTATCAGGATAGAAGTGATTGATTACAGGACCATGGATATCCAGCAAAATGTGTCCTAGACTCTCACTGTGGTGGCCATGGGTTTGTGTTTCTCCATTCATTTCTCACTCCAACCAAATGATACACATAACATAACTACAGCCAATCACACAGCAGCAACTTGATACATTTAGGCATATAGATATGGCCAAGATGACAAGTTCAAACATCAAAAAAATGATTTAAATGACTCTGAACTTGGGTCGGACAGGCTAGTCTGAGTATTTCAAAAAATGCTGATTTACTGGGATTTTCCTACAAAACCATCTCTAGGGTTTATGGAGAATCCATATTCATCAAAAATTCATTGACCCAGGTTGTCTTGAACATGTCTACATACATCAAAGCACTGAGTTGCTGCTAAAAAGAGTAAATATCCCGTCAGCGGCAGCTCTCCGGGAGGAAATGCCATGTTGATGCTAGACGTCAGAGGAGAATGGACAGACTGCTTCATGGTGATTGGAAGGTGTCAGTAACACCGTCATAACCAAGGTATGCAGAAGAGCATCTCTGAACGAGAAACACATCGAACCTTAAAACTGATGGACAGCAACACACACACACCGCACACATCTTATCAGCCAAGAACAGGAAACTGAGGCTACAATTCACACGGCCTCGCCAAAAGTGTAGAGTAAAAGATTTGAGTTTCGATTTTTTCTTGTGGCTGTCAGCTGGTAGAGTCAGAATTTGGCATAAACAACATGAAAACATGGATCCAGACTACCTTGTATCAACGGTTCAGGCTGGGGGTGTAATGCTGTGGGGATATTTTTTGGCATACTTTGAGATCCCTTAGCACCAAAGCTGACCCGGTGCTGTTGCGAGTGCGTATGTAGTACACAACTGAAAAGGCAAACGTATGAACAAATAGGACTGATATTAGGCAGTTACAGCAAAAAAGCAGAGAGTGTTTTATACATACACACTCACACACAACTGGCCAGTGTTTAAGATGCCCCGGTTTAAATGTATAATGCCAGCAGGGAGTGCATGCAACAGCCAATAATACCTTCAGCTGATGGAGAGGGCCATGAAAGTGATGAATGTTAAACAATAGCACTGTTTTGCTCCAGTGATTCAGTTTCTGGACGGCACAGAGGTATTGGTCCACAGTACAGAGGGACCCAGATGGTTAGGATAGCTTTTACACATCTGAAATATCATAACTCAGTGAGCCCATTGTGATTTGATGGCTTTGTTAGTGGAATTTGTGTGTGTGTGTGTGT